AACTCAATGGCACATAACAACAACAGTATAATAGATCATATAACTGTCTGATTCAAAATAGCCAAAACCAGTCCATTCAGCCTAGGATATCCATCTTCATGCATTCCATTTCATTTTTTGCAATTTCCAATTTCCCTAGATTCATAGTTCATGTATTCCATTTTCCAATTATTAATGGAAGTTTGCAGCTGTTTCTTCCCATTTTGAGTCATAACCTATCAGCAAATGGAGACCCTGAAGGCTTTACTCCATCTATGTCATTAAGGTCAACTCTACTTTGAAGAGGCTGCTCTTTCCCAGTCATATTTTGAGTGCCTTCTGAACTGAGGGCCTCATCTTCAGGAACTATATCAGACAATGTTTCTGGGCTATTCATAAAATGCTTCATTGCTATTCATAAGGTTTTCACTGGCCAGTTCTTTGAAAAGTATGTGGTCCCTTCCTTCTTCCAAGTCTGTCTTAGTCTGGAAGCTCTGCTGAAATCTGTCCACCATGGTGACCCTGCTGGTATTTGAAATACTGGTGGAATATCCTCCAGCCTCACAGCAACATGCAAGCCACCACAGTATGAAAAACTGACAGATAAGTGGTGGCCACAAAAGTTAGAGGTAAGGAAATTGAAAAAACTGCCCTGATGAGCAGTCAATGTAAGAAAGCACTCTCTGCAAAACACTGGAGATAATGCTAAGAAAACAAAAAGCATCACTACAATATCTGCAGAGTTTTTGCACCCCAAGAATTCATTCACCTTACTTTGCTTTTATTTCAGCTAGAAAATTTGTCTTGAATTATGTGACTTTTGAATTACTTGAAGTCCTTAGGAATGTTCCCCTTTTGCAAAATGCAACCACCTATGCTTGAAGGCTCTTTGCCTTGTTCTCTTCATTACTTTCCCATCCACTGCCATTGACCTGATTCCCACTCATAGCAACCCCATAGGACAGAGGATAGAGAAGAACTACTCCATAAAGTTTCTGAGGCTGTAAATCTTTACAGAAACAGACTGCTTCATCTTTCTTCCATGGAAGAACTGGTAGGTTTGAACCACTGATGTTTTTGTTAGCAGCTGAATGCTTTAACCACTATGCCACCAGAGCTCCTTTCATTCCTTTAACCAAACCAAACTCACTGCCATAGAGTCGGATCTGACTCATAGTGACCCCTTCTTGGGTTCCTGAGGCAGTATCACTATGGAAGTAGATTGCCCAACATTCCTTCTGAGGAGTCGCTGGTGGGTTTGAACTGCTAGCCTTCTGGTTAGCAGTCAGATGTCTTAGGCACTATGCCACCAGAGCTCCCTTCATTCCTTTAGGCCTCTCTATTTTGGGAAAGATGATCCCTGGGTCCTTCCCCTACACTAAACTTGCCCTCTATCTTAGGCTCTATCTTCTAAGGCTGAGGTTAGGAAGCCTACTAAACTGAGGCCCATACTACTGAGTGGAAATAATAGCCATCTCTCACACCTTCAAGATAATGTGTGCATTTTATTTAATGTTAGCCTGTTGGAAAATAACAGCAATAACAATTATTGTTAGATATTTGTTTTCAGTTTACAGATCTCCTCCCCATAAATTATCTCTATAAAGCAAGAGAGAGGCAAATGATGCAGATTTCAAACTGAGTGGGAGGGCAGGGTGGCCCCTGGCCTGTCAGTGAGTAACAGAGTTTGGAGATACAATCATGAAGTTCCTTTAAAATCACACCTGATCCCCTAGTGTGCCCTGGTGGTCTTCTCTACACACAGGAGAGCAACATCTTTACAAGCACCCATGTGTGCTAAATTCTACTCAAAGTATGTCATTTCTGGCCCTAATCACAGTTTCCTGTGTTATCCTCATGCCACATGTTAACCACATTTTCAATTACAATAAATTTTTCTTTCTCACTTGATAAGCAATTTTTGTACAAGCTGGACACTATTCCAAAAGTAAATTTTGGTTCATCAATAGGGTATATGGTAGATTCACATTGCAAAGCTGAGCTATAGCCAAATGCAACATTCCACTGATAAACTCATCCCAGACCTCTATCTTCTGGCTAAGGACTTTATTTTTCTAGGCATGCTCCATTTCTTCTTTGGTTCAATGGTGGCTGAATTTCTTTTCAGGGTGATCTTTCCCAAAGAAATAGATTATATCCCTTGGCAAGAATTGTTGTGGGATGCAGCAGCCTGAGAGCAACAAGCCAGTTTAGAAGTGGATGCTGAGGAGCCACATGAGACCTTCTAGGCTATGTGGCAGGGGTTTGAGCAGGATCTGAGCATGTGCTTCCCAGTCATGCCTGAGCAGATTGATCACTATATGTCATGAACATTTGACTCAGCAAATGGTATATTTAAGAATATCAATGATCTATTAGTCATTATTCAATAAGGGATATTAGGCCAGAGCCAACAGCTGAGGATGATAAGGAGCTGTTGTCTGCCTCCAGTACAGTAAGTTCCTGGCTTACAAATGCCTGATTTATGGACAACTCATACTTGCAGCATTGGATTACCCAATAAACAAGGTAAGCACGGGCTTATTTGTGCTTACTTACTAATCCATAGTGAACAATTTCACATTTATTCATCATATCAATGAGTCAGCTTCTAGGTATGGTTGGCATCTTTCTCCCTCCCAACCCCACAGCACCTTTGTACAGAATCAAACTTCTTTTCAAATTCACAATCTGTGATGGGGAAAGTACCCAGTAAGCAAGATAAGCACAGGCTAACTTGTGCTAATTTACTAATGGTGAAATGCATGTGAAATTGTTTACTACACTAAGTAAATACAATCAAGCCTATGCTTACTTTGCTTGTTGTCTGCCCCTTCAAGACTTGCCCTTTAAAGTTATGTAAATTTGTCCTCATCTTGAAACAAGCGAATCAACCCCTAAACCAAAAAAAAAAAAAAAAAAAAACCTCACCGCCATTGAACCAGTTCTCAGGCAGTGTCTCTATGAAAGTAGATTGCCCAGTCTTCCTTCCAAGGAGTGGCTGGTGGGTTTGAACCACCAGCCTTCTGGTTAGCAGTCAAATGCCTTAGGCACTAAGCCACCAGAGCTCCTAATCCTTTGGTAGGACATCTAAAATCTAATAGCATTAGCCACAGTTTTTGTGAGTAGGCACTGTGCAATCTT